TCTTGATGCTTAATTGAACAGAAACACCAGTACTCTTGGATATCATCGCTCAATAAAAAACAATTGAAAGCAAGCGTAGGAATCACACAAGGATTCCGAAGGAGTGTGATTGTGGCCGTTAAGAAGGGAGACGCCTTGGTCTGGCGGAATTTTCTTACAGTTCGACCATGCAAAAATGATCCCAATACTGATCCCTGTTTCCAAACAAACAATCAAGAGATTCTCCATGTCAAGTTTGTGTGATAAACAAACGATTTTCATACGCCATGTCTGATACAAAAATGGTTTAAATCCTGCTTTTGAGTCTTGGAAAATAACTGCTTAGATATTATACTAGCCTCCTGGAAAAGATTCGTTTAATTCTCTTGATGTGTATGGGTTAAGATATTGGTCCAGAAACAATATAACCTTGTCTAACCCAACCTGTCCATAAACCAGTGTCTTCACCAAACCGTGCTAGAATGAACCAAATGTTGCATGCAGTCGTTTTACAGAGACATTACACTAGGTTCTTGGAAAAGATTCGTTTAATTCTCTTGATGCATATGAGTGAAGATAACGGTCGAGCAACGATATAACCTTGTCCAACGCAACCTGCCTATAAACCAATGTCTTCACCAAACCGTGTTAAAATGAACCAAATGTTGCATGCAGTCGTTCTACAGAGATATAAAAGCGAAATTAGTCAGAAAGGTCACAAGAAACAAATTAAACAAATAATCCTAAAGGAACAAAAGTTTAGAGCATTCCCTAGAGCAAGTGTAAGGAGGTCGTAGCCAAAGACAACATTATTTAAATTAGTTGCATTGTTTGCTTGGTAAATAGTCAATGGTCGACGGTGACAGACTGGTTTTGACGATGCAAAATTCGGCAACAAATCCATTTTGGAGTAGTTATATCTCTTAAACAAGACTAGAAATTTTTTTCTTCGTGACTCATATTGTGAGGGTCAATTGAGACAATTGGGGCTTGACTGAAGAGAATTTCAAAGGATTAAACATTCGAGATTTTGAAACCTTTCAAAGAAACAGGAGAAAGGAAATCGTAGCTAAATTAGCGATTCGCAAATTTGTTGCATTGTTGTTTACTAAGTAAATATCAATGGACCGAGTAGAATCACTTCATTGAAGGTTTCAACCCGTTTTGAAGGTGCTTCAGTAAGAGGAAAAACAGGCAACAAACTTATTTTGACGTGGTAAGTATATTTAAAAAAAAAACACTGAATGATTAAAAGCACCTCACAACTTAATCGTGAATATGGGAGCTTCTCGAAAGTTAGAAACAACATTTTAACGAGTTGTTACGAATTAACGGACAAAATATGAAGACTGAACTTGGGCCAACAATCAACAATTTAGGGCAGGTTTGCCAAAGCAGGAGATAAATATGACAACATTGAATGACGCTGCGAAAGTCGAATAATTTTTCCAGAATAGGTTTTATATGACCTTCCAGCTGCAAGTTCTCAATTAGGTTAGAAACAGGAAGTCACGCGACGGCTATGGGTTTTCGTCACCATATAAAAACTCAAACTTGCCGAATCTCCCGGTTTAGTCGATCAAGGAACTTTATTAGCTCTATATATGTTTTATCACAACGGCCGTTTTCACACGAGAGGCCGATAGACCTTCTAAGTCGGGTTATCCGTCTGTGGTGTGAAACCGGCCAATGTTTATTAAAACTTAAACAGGCCTTAAGGACATTTAACGGGCCATTCAATATTTCGTGGTCCAAGTACCTTTCTTATTTACCGCTAATTGGGACTTCCCGTGCGCATTTGCGTTTTGACTGCGGTCCAAAGTCAATGTATATGATTACATAACTTCAGTGTAAGTCTACGTTTTCGACGAAAAAAGGGAACAGAAGATCCTCTCATCAAAACTGTCCGAGCCTCAAACAACCTGGTGTATCTTGACTATCTTTGACCCACCTACATGAAGGTTAGAGGTTTGAAGTTTAATTAATTTTAGATTTAACGCCTATTGCGATAGAATTTAAGATTTTTGGCGAAGCCTAAATTATGCCATGATATCCACCAGAAAAATTCGATTACATCAGTCTGAATAATTTCCCCAAAAATTATCCTGGGCCGGGATGCAAAAGAACAAGCCTTTGTCATTTAAAACTCAGATTTTTGACCAATCGTTTTGTGTGGGAAACAAATGATGGACGAGGACTGCTCAAATTGCTGCTAACATAGGTTTTGATGTCGGTTCTGCAAGCCGGATTCGCAACCTTTTTTACTGGCCTACATACGCGAAACTTGGAAATTCATCTTAAATTTGACAGCGCAATTTGACATAACTCACATTATCGATTTTGCGGAAAATAAAGCGATATTCAGCCAAACGAAGTATACAATTTTTCTCAGATTAAAGTATACCAAAGTTTGGAATATAAACAAATTAATTTTTCGAATGTTGGCATCAAATGTTCGACCGTTGGTAACATTCGCTCTTCAAAACCGAAGGAAGTTTCTCACTCTTCAGTTTGTAACTAAGTAAGTAAATAAGAACTTTATTTTGTAGTCAATTCGCTTCCACGTTTTTTTCAATAACATGGGGAAGGGAATTAGTTCAGTGCTAAGCAGGCAGTTGTAACTAGTGGCAATATATATCAGTGAAAAACAAATAATATAATTAAAATGTCGAGTCACCGTGATCTGTTGGTAGGACAAAGTATTTTATGCAATTCTTTATAAAAATAGAAAAACAACTGCAAAATTGGACTTTGTCTCTCGAATCTGATGTCTCGTTAAAACTTTAAGCTACTAAAACGTTGAACTGAATTAAGTAAAGTCAGTGAAAGCATTATCAACCTGTTTACAACCACATGCTTCTAATGACTACAAAGGCTTTCTATATCTTTACTTTATTTATTATTGAAAACATCATCGTGTAATAATATCATTTCTATTAATTTATATTAGTCATGACTTCCTTTGAGAAGAATTCGTAAAGTAAGTTAGAGATAATTCCTACGAACAGACGCGTTCGACAAAACATTTTTGACGTTGATCTGCGTATTTGGTGAACTCCTTTACGTTCTCGAAAGTTGGTATTCCGAGCGTTTCCGTAAATAGATTATTAGAAACTCTGAACGTTAAAGTTTCAAATGGAAACGATTTTTTTCCCAAATTCGCCCTGTGGCCTTAAAATACAGCAGTTCTTTAAAAATATAGCAGTTCTTTTCATAAACTGCATTAACTGTATTCTTTGATTATTTTAGCATTTTCTTTTTAGTACTTAAGGCTCTTGTTTAGTGTCCCAATTAGTACGCTATGTCTAAATACATTTCACACTTAAACAAAGGTTCTTAGCTTATCTTATTTCATTTATAAGCGATCTTTCGGAACTTTTTTTGCTACAGCCGAAAACAAGAATAATTAAGATTGAACGCCAATATAATGGAAACAATTAGAAGCCAAAGCAACAATCAGTGAGCAGAATCACTAGCCTGAGAACCAGGCCTGAGGACAGAAGCTGTAACATTTCAAAAATATTAAATACTTTTTGAAAAAGCTGAAGTCATAAGGAGGGAAGTAATTCTGATTTGGCTGCGTTATCAAAATATTCCATGGGTTAAAGTTGCTGCTAACGTCGATCGACTAGCTATTGAGGTCTGTAACTTTGAAGTTGAGTAGTCAAACCTGGTGGATCAAGTTTCAAACGCACGTTGGTGTAGTGCACTTGAGCCTAATATTGTGAGATCGATAAAATTAGAAAATTTTACAAGGTTAGAAACTCTAACCTATGCTGCATTCTTGGCGAATAGTTAATGAAAAATCTATTGTTCGATTTTAAAAGAACCTTTAAAGTGTATATGGTATGAAAAATAATTTCTGCTTATTTGGAAGGCCTTTCAAAATACAGAATGGCATTTTTCTTTTTGAACTATACTGTTTTGTTTTAGAGATATTGACGTTTTTCTATTATGCAAATTAGATCAGTGATGACGTCATAATGTTTGCAACTAAAAAGTGGTAATTTTTAATTTATTCAATTTATTCAGTTTTCACTGCGATTATATAACAAACATTAATAACAATAAAAAAAATCTTAGTACATAACAAGGCAGTAAGGAAGACTAGAAGGGAACTGACGAACCATACGGGCTAGTCAACCCATTAGGAAAATACTGAATAAACAATATCTCTGGAAATATTAAAGCAGTGTTCTTGAAACTTGGCACCATAAATGTGCATCACAAAAGAAACAAAACGCCCCCCTTGTGCTGTTTCCATTACAACAGTTTTACCGCTGGTGCTTTCTTAATAGAAACTGAAATTCCCAGTTTTTGGAGTCTCTTTCTGTCAAAAAACCAAATACCCCCATTTGCAACCTCTAAAGTGAGACAAAGGGTTCTACTTGGAACAGACATAGTTCCCATATCGTCTTAATTCCCATCATTAGATTGGGTGGGGTAGATGGTTCTTGGTTTAAGACAAAAACTGGGAATTTCAGTTTTATTAAGACAGCACCAGCGGCAAAACTGTTGCCATGGCAACAGCACTAAGGGTGTCATTTTGTTTCTTTTGTGATGTACATTTGTGGTGCCAAGCTTCAAGAAAACTGCTGTAATATTTCTAGAGATATTGTTAATTCAGTATTCTACCATTTTTAGTTGCAAACAATATGACGTCATCACTGATCTAATTTGCATAATAGGAAAACGTCAATATCTCTAAAACGAAAAAAGATATTTCAAAAAGAAAAACGCCATTCTTCTGTATTTTGAAAGGCCTTTCAAATAAGCAGAAAATATTTTTCATGTCATATGCACTTTAAGCTTTTTTGCGTTAACTTTCGATATTTGGGGATTACACAAATTGCTGAAAATGTACAAAAACAGCAATATTAAAAACAACAACAGGCATTGAAAACTGTATTTCAATACCTCAAAATCCAAAATGACTTCCTACACATTGATGTAAGCGTGCATTGAATTCCTGTTAATTTCATGTCCTCTACAGTTAGTAAAAGAACCTGACAAAACAAAGTCACTTTCTTCCACTGGCAGACGAGTAATTACTTCTAACAGCAACAAGAAAAAGACAGAGCTCTGAGATGTCTTCACCCGAGTGCATAACCTGGATGACTGTAGGCTTAACCGAGTCTGTTGCCATAATAACACTTAACCTCTGTACGATAATTGCTTTTATAAGAGACCGTCGTCTCCGCAAACGTAGCACGTACCTGGTGATAAATGTGGCAGTTACAGATTTGTTGGCTGGAGGGGTTCCTGTGTATGTTCTGTTCTATGGGTTTGGAGCAATATGTAATGTATGGAAGGGGCATTCAAGTGTATATTTGGCAGATTATAAAGTAACAAGACTACTTATTGTTTTTCCTGGTATGTCTTTATTAAACATAGCCATTATTGCTTTAGAACGGGCGTATGCGACATTTCGGCCTTTCAGGCATCGCCTGCTAAAAAAAAATGGGTGTATGGCCTATTTATTACCTTTGTTTGGGTTTTTATGGCATCTGTCACTTCGGGATATATTAGGTACTTCGGTGCATCTGAATATGGATTTCTTGATCTTTACTTAAAGATTGCAGCTGTCTTGTTTCTACTTTTGATCATTTGTGTTTCTTACTCATCCATTGTTATTAAAGTCCGTTGTGGAGCGCAGCCTCAACACCATGGTGCAACCAGTAGAGA